AGAATGATGACGGCAACAAATGTATAAATGTGCTTGACACAATGGGTGTATGTATGGATTGTGATAAGTGTTGCATGAGCCCCCAATAAAATGATTTTTTTTTAAGAATTGGAACAAGTTGGAGTTTAAATTTTTTTAAAAAAGAAATATTTATAAAACAAATAAAAGAGACCTAGGAAACATATCAATTAAATGTAATATGTGATTTGCTTTGTTTAGATCCTAATATTAACAGATCAATATTAGAAAGACATTTGTGAGGCAATGGAAAACCTTTGAACTTTGGATCTTTCGTTGTTTTCCACAATCGTGTGCTAGAGCCCACCTGTGCCAACCATAAGAGCCTCATGTGTGTTCACTCTCATCACATTGCTCTATGAAGCAACCATGCTGGAGGATTGCAGTGCCCCTCAGAGCTCTCCCATTATTCCTTGAGTCCCAGTGTATGGCTTTTAAATGATATAAGCTAGTTGCTAAATATTTCCCATTAGTATGTAAGAAACTATTCTTATTATTCAGGGTGATAATTATTTTTTAGCTATATTTTAAAAATAATCCTCATTCTTTTTCTTTAGTTTTATTTTTTTTAAGAAAACACTTATTAAATCTAAAATGGGACAGGGACAAGACAACTACAGAGATATATTATCCAGATAAGGGAAACCATTAGACCAAGGTCATAATGGGGCCCAGCATTTGCTGAGATACAGAGCTTTAAAAGGGCCGTGGGAAGTTAAAGAAAAATGTCACAAAGACATGGTTGGTGGCAGATCAATACATCATCATTACAGGTGGGTCCCGCAGAGCAGGAATGGAGCTATGATTGGTACTGGTACATTGTGTTAGATAGGGAGCTCACTCTACTGGTCCAGGGACTTCGCCAAGGCAGCCAGGGAATAAAGTATGCCTAGTACAGTGATCTCCATCAAAGACACACCGACATTAGCCCCTAAGGAAGACTGTCTCACTGCAGACTGGTGTGTGTGTGGAGGGAGGTGGGAAGCAGGTTTTGGAGGGGGCGGGGCAGGGAAGTGAGGTAATCCACTTTCCAATTCACTCTGTCTGAGAGCAAGACCATTCACATCCCTGGTCAATGAATCAATGGGACTTAATCCACATGAGCACTCGCAAATGGGCTTTGGACTTTTACTGTTATCCATAGCTTTCTGCAAAGTGGGTACTCAGAACTGAAGCTCTAATATAATTCCCTCTTCTGATCATTGATTTTATAATCCTTATCTTTAGAGATGCATTTTGAGCAGCTGGAATTGTATAATGTCTGGGATCTGCTTTAAAATAATTCTGTAGAGCTCTGGAATAATAAGTACAAGTGCAGCTGGAATAGGATTAATTAAAAATTAACAAAGCTGAAGCTGGATGTTTAACAGCTAGAAGGAGGAGTTCACTACTTTTTCTCTTTACTTTCATGTTTTTAAAATTCCATTAGAAAAAGATAGAAACAAAATCACAAAGGTCCTCCAATCTACAGTGCGTGGCTCTCTTCCTACCACTCTCCCACAGAGACCTTTCACTCCCATTCCATCTGCAGGTCCCAAACAGCGGTTTCTTCTGTGTAACAGCTAGAAGGAGGAATTCACTACTTTTTCTCTTTACTTTCATGTTTTTAAAATTCCATTAGAAAAAGATAGAAACAAAATCACAAAGGTCCTCCAATCTACAGTGCGTGGCTCTCTTCCTACCACTCTCCCACAGAGATCTTTCACTCCCACTCCATCTGCAGGTCCCAAACAGCGGTTTCTTCTGTGTCTTCAAATGGTGTCCCCTGTGCCTGATGCTCCCTTTGCTTCTCCCACGGCACGGTGCTGTGTCTCATCAGCATGTATTCATCCTTCAGATTGCAAAGTCATTTCACTTCAGATGTAATCCTGACCCTCTCATTGTTTACCACACTCTATAAAAATGACATCTGTGGACATAAAGTCCATACAGGAGTTTATATGAGGGTCACTCACGAAGTATTGCGACACAGGTTCCAGTTCAGACCCAATGGGCTGATCCAAACAAAATGTGTTTAAACATGTCTCTCTATTTAGTCGATGGCTGTAAACAAGTTCTCGCAATAATATGCTTGTCTTATCCTCATTCACCCACCAGCCAAACCCATTGCCATTGTTAGGGAGGCCTTCAAAACTTAACATGGAGCTAAATAGTAGCTTCTAAAGGGATCAGCTTCAGCCAGGTCAATTCAAGGCAGAGAGTCATCTTGGGAGATTATGACAACTGGTTTTTGTTTTGTGTGTGGTGAGAGGTGAAAGGGGTGTGGGGGTAGAGATTCCAAAAGGGTAGTTTTGAATATTTCCTCAAACACAGGATGATCGTGGGGGCTTATTAGGGAGCTGTTTTAAGAAAACTGGATCGCTGAGAAAAAAAACAGGAAAGTTCCACTGAGGAACTTTTTTCCATCATAATAACATACCTGCTCATTCTTCAAGCCTAGCAAGGGCTGTTCTATGAGAAATTTAATGGGAAACTTCAACTCATCCCCTCTACAGCCCTGATCTTAACACCCCCAGGCTTCTTTCTGAACCCAGAGACCAAAAAAAAACCACTTAAAACATGCTTTGATCTTTCAGTAGATGGGTATAAGTCAAGGAGCACAGAATTATTCAGGGAAGAGTTAAAGAGACGCGAAGACTATTTTCAGAAATGTACAAACCTAGATAGAGGATATGTCAAGAAACAATAGATTCACATTTTGATATTTTCTTTCATAAAGATTTCTATGATTTTGTAAAATACTTTTTACTTATTCTAATATAAATATTTGTATCTATTAAATATATTTTTTATCTTTTTACATATCTATAAAATAAGATTTCTATAAAAACTTAACAACTAGATCTCTAGCACTTATTAGGTATTAGGAACAGATATTAACTACTAAATCTACACAACAAATCTATGGAATACATATCGTCATAAGCATAATTGTACAGATGATAAAACATAAGGATAGTGACATTAAATTACCTCCCTAAGGTCATAGCTGGTAAATATTGGAGCCAAATTGTCTCTGTTCTGTGAGTGAAGCCTTTCCTCTATTTTCTTCTGTCCAAAGATTAGTTCTGTTTCTATGTCTAGGAAGGACTCACCTTCTCCAGGTAAGGCAAAATGTCCCACAGTGTTAAGTAGTGTGTTGGTATCACTGATTTATATGCAGCCTTAGGGTTATGTTTTGATTGCAAGTGTGTGGAAACCACTGAAATGAAAAATAAAACAACAACAACCAAGGTAGCTGAGTCATTCTAGAAGCCCCTGCTCCACCCCATTCAATGGCACCAAGTACTCTGTTAGCTGAAAATCACCAAAAATGAAGAGTTCAGTCACTGGCCCTGGCACCCAATTTCAGGAAGAGTCAAGAAGTAAGTAGGCAATGGATGAATGCATTCTTCTCATAGCCATAGGCTAGTCAGGGTGCCCTGCTATCTTAGCAAAGGAGATAGTACATCAGTGATATACACTAGGCCAGTAGCTCTCAACTCAATTGTTCATCAGAATCTCCTAGAGACCAATGGGAAAATATCTATACCCAGATTCTACCCCTTCCTCCCCATACTCCTCTAACCACTCTGGGAAGGGTCTGGACACTTATGTACTTTAGAAGTTCCACAAAGGATTCTGATACACAGCCTTGCACTTCAACTTGACCCTACATGTTAGGCTCCTAGAAGGCAGGCATTGTGCCATGCACATCTTTGAATCCTGAAGCCTACAGATATAATCAAACCCAAATCCCCTGCTAACAAGTCAATCCTGACTCATAGTGACCCCTATACAGGGTTTCTGAAGCTGTAAATCTTTATGGGTATAGATAGCCTTATACTTCTTGCAAGTAGCAGATGGGTTTGAATAAAGAACCCTGCGGTTAGCAGTCTAATGCTTAAACTTAACCAACAGTTAACTTAACCAACAGTCTAATGCTTAAACTTAAACTTAACCAACAGTCTAATGCTTAAACTTAACCAACCAATCCAAAACTTAACCAACAGTTCATTATACAAAAGAATGCTTCCTATTCGCCATGCTCCTCTTCACAGGCTGTTTGAGGAGCTGAGGTTTTGTTCAGATTGAGCTTGCTGTTGGGTACCTAGAACAGAGCTAAAATATTCTTGAAATGCGAAGTACTCAGGTGTGTAGTCTCCATCCTCTGTAAGCAGTGCTCCATAGTCTGAAAAATATAAGAAAATATGTCACTTCTTCCAATAAAGATCTACCTTTAGCAAAAAAAGTGATGAGAGCCTGGTACTGAGTAAAAGGATCCTTGGTGCAGAAGCTTTGGGGAGAAACAACTTTGGGGCATTACTCAAGGAAATGCCAAGTCACTGTCTTCCTGGAACCTTTGCTTGGGTCCCAGTAAATTCCAGCCAGGAGAGTCTGCCAAGCTTTTTCAAGGCTATTAATTGGAGGCAAACAGAATAAGCCCATGGACGCATAGTCCTGTAGACCCTTGCTGAGAGCTTGAGTCCATTTTCATAGAATGCTTCCTCCTATTCCTTTTGCAATGGAATTCCTTTATTTCCTTCACTCTCAGCTTATTTCTTGGTCTATTAGTAGAGTTATAGATTGGGAAAGAATTATTAGCTTATACCCTGATGTGAAACCCAGAAGTAGCCTGGTTTTCAAGGAACCTCTAAAAGCAAGGGTCTGTGCGCAAATGACCAAGACGGGGCTACTGTCCTCTTTCCCTGAAAAGTTCTAGAAATCCTACAGTCCAATGGGGCTTATATTCCAGTACTATCAAGAGGAATAAATAGCAAATCCTCGATCTCCAGAATTTTTTTTTTGTAATGTTCCAGAGCACCCCTCCCCCTTGGGTCTCCCATCCAAAACTCCAGCCCCAAGTGGTTGGGTGAAATAGGCAGGAGATTACTCAGGGACAAGCACTTGCCATAGCTGGTGACCACAGGCTCATATTTTTGTGTTTCCACAGCTCCGCCCATGAATCCAAAGTTTGTGCCACCATGGAACATATAGAAATTGAGGGAGAACCTAAGTTTGATCATTTCTTGCACGTCTTTCATCAACACTGCAGATACATAGGGAAAGGGAGAGACAAGGATAGAGAATGAGTGGAGAGAGGTATTCCTACCCTCTCATGGGATCCTCCCATCATCAACACCCAGAATGCTCAGCTGCCTCGATCAGTCCTTTAACAACATGCCAAGAAAATGTGTGGGCTTAGTTCGAATCCCTTGGGAAGGACTGGTGGTGCTAGTCCCAACATCATCTCAATAACCTAGCCATTTCTTTTCCTCTGGGTTTCCTACTTTAGGAGTGTTTCTTTCTTTCTATCAAACTCTATTATTAAGTCATTGCTTGTATATTTTTGTCTTGGTGGTATGCGTGTGTCCTGGAGAAGTGTTTTGCGAGAACATGGTGATGTCTGCCAGAGATGGGTCTGAAATCCTGGCACGCAGACGATTTCTCTCCAAACCACATTTGAATGACTGTGGCCAATTCTTCAGAGAGGACTTGGTGCATAATTTCCAATCCAATACTTTTCTACTTCTGCCCAACACACTTTCATGGAATGTCTCTACTTTTCAAAGCAATTCACACTAATTAATAGTGTCAACAAGTTAGAATTAGAATGGAAACTGTGCTGTCATTTTGTGGTGCAGATGTCTTTGAGGTGTCAATGTAATCATGTTGAAGCTTATAAAGCCATGACATCTCAGATCGTTCTCTCAGAACTCTCAGGTATACTATCAACAACAACAAAACCTAGGCCTGCACTGTCCGTATAAGTCTATCCTCCTGAAAAAAAGGTAGGGGGTACTCACGATGCAAATCAAGATTGCGACGTAAAAGGCCCCAGGTATCAAAAGATTTTGCTGTATATACTGTCATCAGTATAGGGCTAGGACCCTGAGGAAACATGAAAGGTCAGTTGAGAACATTTGGTACCATTCAGAAGCCCCGAATTGCTTAGAAAGCAACTGTGAAATTCAGGTTTCACAGATGCCTCTTCAACTCAGAGCATTTCTTCTCTGCTTATAGGCTCTAAGTTCTGCTCATGCCCTTGCCTCTTCTTCCTGGTCCCATTGATCCTCTTTTACTTTCAGTGGCCTTCCTTGCCCAGGCTAGTGGGGCACCTGGAGCAGGGCTCAGTCTGAATAAATGTGGAGCAATTCACTTCTCTCTGCATCTCAGCTTTAACTCTTCCTTAGCTCAAGGGCAACCTCCTCCCATTAGGAAAGGATTCTTTTTGCTAGAAAATGTGAAAAGGAAATGGGGACTCAAAAGCTCTGTTTGCTTCTGCTGGTTACTTACTGTTGCAAAATCTGTCCTAAGCCTTTCTCTCTTGTTGTTCTCTCAGTCAAGCACAAGAAAGTCACTGGACACAAATTACAAATCAGTTACCAAAGCTGAGGGTTCTCATTTTGATTATTTGATTCTTGTGATTGATTGTCTCTGTCATATTAAACTCTTCTCTCGTATAAAATGGTGTTGAGAGAGGCAGTGTTATTACAGAAGGACAACAGAATGAGATGGGTGTAGATTACTTCTGCAGCACTTGATGGTCTAGGTGTGAGATCAAATGAAAAGTTTAACCTTTCTGTGTCATGGTTTCCTAATCTGTTAAAGGTAACTAAGAGTAATAGCCTCTTACAAATTAAATGTAGGAAATTAAAAAATAAAATGTGTGAAAGGATTAAGTAAATCAAAAACTGTATACATAAATATCATCATATAATGTTTTCCTAGCTCGTGTTATTATCTCACAGCCTGTCTATTGTCTCCCCTCACCAGAACATGAGCTCTGAAAGTAGTGATGCTATAGGTTTTGTCCAATGCTTTACCCACAATGACTGAGAAAGTGCTTAGCAGACACATGGAACATGTCCGAACGATTTATTGAAGAATCCAATGAATGTTGAATGAGCTCATATTCAGGATTTTGTTTATTAGACCACATATCGCTTTTTACTCCTCATTCCCAGTCTTGGTCTCTTGTTAGCATACGAGTTTGGTTTAGTTGAACCTAAAAAACCACCTAGAGTAGGCAGTGCAAGGGCACAGGAATCCACATGCTTCAGCTGAATGAACTACTCCTGCGAACTGAGCTACAAGGAGGTCGTAAGAGCAAATATCAAAAAGTCCTGCATCTTTGCCAGGTCCTCACCTGGAGCAAAAGCAGCTTCTGGTAGGTTTCTTTGTGGATGTTCTTCATATGGAGCGTGGCAAGCACTGCAGAGTAAACGAAGACACCCTGAGGAGGTCTTGCCACAACCACTGCCAGGCAGGAGACACAGAGCTCCTGTTTCCAGAACAAGAGCTGGACCCCAGCACCTACACACAGCATTTGATGCCTTATGATTAATGATAAATATTTGATCTTGCCTTCATATCCAACCACGCCACTTTCAAAGGGCTTTGTTTAGCATTTACAGTGAATGACAAATAGAAGTGAGAATCCAAAACACCAAACAAACTCATTGCCCTTGAGTGGAATCCAACTCAGAACAACCCTACGGGCAGGATAGAACTGCCCCTTGTACAGTTACAAGACTTTATCTGTTTACAGGAGTAGAAAGCCATATCTTTCTTCTGTGAAGCAGCTGATGGATTCAAACTGCTGACCTTGTGGTTAGCAGCTCCACGAGTAACCCACTATGTGCCCAGTGCTCCTAGAGAAATGAGAAGGGTAGTTCAAATAGCCAATGTTAAGGGATGAATACATTTAAGCCTAGAGAGGTGAACAGCCTAAGACTTAAACCTTGATGACAAGTCTTTTCACTTCTAAGTCAGAATATTATTCTGCCTCTATACTCCTATAAAGAGTTACGGTCTCAGAAACTCACAAGGGCAGTTCTACCCAGTCCTATAGGGTCGCCATGAGCCATCATTGACTTGAGTTTTCTCCCACTGTAAAATGAGAGGGATTATGCAGTGGGCTGTGATCCACATGGTTGGCAGTTTGAAACCACAAGCAGCTCTGCGGGAGAAAGACCGGGCTTTCTGTTCCGGCACCAGACAGTCTCAGAAACCCACAGTTGCTGACGCTGCATTACTTGTATACTCGTCACAATCACTTGGCAAGGACAAAGATGACCTTTCTTGGGTTCTAGCCAGGGCCCAGCTTTAGGCCCCTGAGGAAATTGGGGTAGGGGTGGGGGAGCGTGTTCTGCACAGTTGATGCGCTAGGGGCAACAGGGGTGAGGAAGCTGGCTCATTAGCACTCAGCATTGACCAGGAGTCCCCATCACTGTTTCCAGAGACTATTGGGAAATAGAAAAGAAGAGGTATCAGGGGGATTTCTGGTTCTTTTTAAGACCTGACAAGTGGAATAACTAGGGAAAAAACAAATGTGTACCATTTTTTATGTGGCCTTTTGTCACATCTTGTCCATCATCAGCAGTTAGGAGCAGCACCTGGATTTTTCTTGCCACCAGGGCCTAAGGAGAAACTCGAGGAGATAAAATGAACTGGCCTCACCCCAATGTGATTCCTTCTCTCTTAAAAATATTGTGGCAACAACATCCTAATCTGTGTGTCAGACAATCACAAATCAAGGACAGCGAGTATAAGCTCTATAGAAAATACTAAAAGAATAGTGAAAAATATATAATAAGATTGCTGTTGGTATTAGTTGCCATACAGTCTGCTTTGATTCATGATGACCCCATACATGAAATTGGGACAGTTCAGCACCATCTTCATGATCACTAGTATATTTGGATTCATATTTTATGAGCATTGTTTAATTCTTTTCTGCCTAAAGAGCTCACCTTCCAGATAATATCAGATAACATTCTGTTGTGATCTGTTAGACTTTCATTGGCTAATTATGGAGAGTAGATTACCAGGCCTTTCTTACTGATGCGTTTTAATCTGGGAAGCACTGCTGAACCATGTCCACCATGGGTGAACCTACGAATATTTTAAATACTTCTAGCATAGCGTCCAGTATCATAGCAGCATACAAGCCATGACAGTACAACAAATCAACAGGTAGTGAATGTAACAAGACAGTATAGAAGAAAATAGAATAATAATAAAAGATGTATTCAGTCACTGACGCATACATGTGAAGAGTGCATAATTAGCAATGTTTTGTTACCTACTTAAGACAATTTTTTTAAAGTTTTTATTTGTTTACTTATTTTTATTAAAAGATCATTTTTATTGGGGCTCTTTCAGCTCACATGCTCCAGTCTAGCCCGCAGTGACAGGCAGGACTGGGATCATGACAGTGAGGAGTGAGGAAGCCTCAAGGAACAAGAAGGATATTGTGTTTCATTAGCGCTATACTGTGCCGTGGTTGACTCATCCCTTCCTTGTGATCCTTCTGTGAGGATGTCCCATTATCTACAGGTGATTTGGGGGCCTCTGCTCTGACACACACCGCTTCTCAGCAATATGTTTTTTGTTTGTTTTGGGTCTTGTGATGCCTGTTACCTGATCCTGTCAACACCTCGTGATCGCATAGGCTGGTATGCTTCTTCTGTGTGAGCTTGTTGCTTCTCTGCTAGATAGACACTTGTTTAACTTCAAGCCTTTAAGGCACCAGATGCTATATCTTTTGGTAGCTGGGCACCATGAGCTTTCTTCACCACATTTCCTTGTGCACCCATTTTGTCTTCAGCGATCGAGGTGGGAGGGTGAGCATCACAGAATGCCAGTTTGTTAGGACCAAGTGTTCTTGCATTGAGGCAGGGCTTGAACAGAGGCCCAAAGTCCACCTCCCTCAGTGTACTGCCATCTAAATATATGTACATAGGCCAATACCTCTATTTTTATGAATTAATGTATTTATATATGTACACACCTGTATTTATACCTCTATCCACAGCTTTGCTTCCTAGATCTTTTCCTCTGTTTCCTTTTACCTTCCTCCTTTCCCACCATTACACTCGCCCTTCTTCTGCCTCTCAGTAATTCCTCTCAGCTAGACTGCTGTTGCTCCAACACTCCCAGGATCTGTATGTCCTCCTCGTTGTTGGTTTTAATTCTCTAGTTGTTCCCCTGTCGGTGGCCTTGTTTGCTCACCGCTCCCATCCCGCACCTCCTCTTCCTCCCCCAAGTCCCTCTGGAACCGTTGCTTTCTCCTCAAGCTTTAAAATGTACTCAGTCATCTGTAGACAATGGGACAACCCCTCACAGAAGGGTCACAAGGAAGGGATGAACCAATCAGGGCGCAGTATAGCATCGATGAAACACATGATATTCTTCTGGTTCCTTGAGACTTTCTCACCCCCACTATCATGACCCCAGTCCTACCTTTCACTGTGGGCTAAACCAGAGCATGTGCACAGGTACAGATTAGAGATAAGAGCTCACAACACATGGAATCCAGGAACAGGAATGGGACTAGTGATACCAGAAGGGTAGAGGGAAGGTGGCGAGAGAAGGGGAGGAAAAGGAAACCAATCTCAATGATCAACACATAACCACCTCCTCCACCACACTCCTTCCTCCCCTGGGGGACAAATAACAGAAACCATGGGAGATGGGAGAAGATATGAAAATAATAACTTATCATTTATCATGGGGTCATGAGGGTGGTGGAGGAGGGAGGGAAAAAAGAGGAGCTGATACTAAGGGCTCAATAGAAAGTAAATGTTTATAAGAGCCCCCAATAAAATGATCTTTTGAAAACATAACTAAATAAATAAAATGTACTCAGTCAGTATAAAAGAAGGCAAGAAAGGAGAGGAAAAGGATCATATAATAGGTGAGACAAATAGAAAGAAAAGTCCAACATGGTAGAGTTAAACACAAATTATGTTATATGTAAACAAACCAAAATACTTCATTTATGACAAAGATAAACAAAAATTTTTAGTTATATGCTGCCTTAAATATATTAATATAGAAGTGTTGAAAGTAAAAGGAAAGAAAATATGTATCACACAAATTCTAACCCAAAGAAAGTTTTTGCCTCCCATAAGAGTTGTGTAGGTAGTTCTAAAGGGATCTCTGGTGGCACCATGATTAAAGTACTGAGCTGCTAACTCAAACATTGGTGGTTCAAACCTTCCAGCCCCTCCACGGGAGAAAGATGCAGCAATCTGCTTCCATAAAGATCTATAGCCTTGGAAACCCTATGGGACAATTCTAATCTGTTCCACAAGGTCACTACAAATCAGAACCAACTCAACAGAAATTAGTTTGGGTAGCTCTCAGTCACCTTTAGATTGTAAACAGATGGAAAAAATTAACTGGACTATCTTCATCTTCATATCCCACAGTAGCACGCATGCTACAGTCATCCAGGAAACGTTTGCTCCATGAACTGAGAAAAGAAGCATGCACATATGGAGGAAAAATCAAAGAAATACTTACCTTTTTGATATATCGCATATATCCCTTATCCTTATAATATGAACCATATTCATTCTCAAGCTGCACAGCAATGATGGGACCTCCCTTGTGGTACTGAGAATCAAGAATATGAGAGTTTACAAGTGAGAGCCTGGTGGTGGTAATAGGCTAGACTTTCCAAAGTTTACTGCTGTACAAATGCATTTCGAGTGCCATTAAAAAAAGAAAACACACACACACACACACCCCTCAAATCCCAATCACCAGTTACACTACATTTCTGGAAATGTCTTATTCCACAGCAGTCACCTCCGGAAAATCAAGTGCTCTTAAAATTCTACCTTTCCTACTAATCCTTAGGGTGGTAAACTCTCATTAGAGCAAAACAAAACCATTGTGTCAGGTCAATTCCAACGCATAGTAACCCTATCGAACAAAATGGAGCTTCTCAGAGTGTGATCTTTACAGAATCGGATTGTGGTATTCTCTGGTGGGGGTGACTGGTGGGTTCAAACCACTCACCTCTGTGTTGGCCGCCAAGCACTTAACCACTGTGCCACCAGGGCTCCTTTGAACTCTCACTATATCACCCTTAGTCGAACATGCCAGGAGCTCTGGTGGGGTTGTGGCTTACAAGTTGGGCTGCTAACCATGAGCTCTGCAGACACCAGCTCCGCCCTGGGAGAAAGGTGAGGTTTTTGGCTCCAGGGAACATGTACAGCGTTGGAAACCTAGAGGGGCAGTTCTGCTCTGCCAGGGCACTGGCAGTCAGAACCCGCTCAACAGCCGGGAGCTTGAGTGAGTTTACTCAGTCGGTGAAGCAGGGGGCCTTAATTGGGAATGAATTAGAAGTTCTTTATCCTCTCTAAAGGTTATCTCATTCCTGTGTGCTAGGTCTCAAAGACACCTCTTAACCACTTTGTTCTTTGAAGTGTCTCCTCTGTCTTCTAAATCACCATTTCCTTCTTTACCAACCCCTTCCCATCACCATTTACATTGATTCTAGGTGCTGTGCTACAAATAATAGCCTGGCCCATTTCCACTACAGTTAGCCCTCTCAGCCTCTTCATTGTTATGAGGACACTTTGTGAACCATTGTTTGCACTCACCCTCTATTTCTCATCTCTTCTCCTCTTTTACACACTCTCGCATTTCTATTATTTTCATTCCAATTAACTATCAACATCGGCCTGCTTTTTGCTAAACTCAGACAAATTTTGGTTCTTAGTGTAATCTCTCCCTTAGCAACCATTCCCTTCCTCTCTTCTACCATCTTCCAAAAACATAGTCTCTTAGTGCTTTGTCTGTCTCTCTAGTCATCACTTCTGGTTCTTGGGTGACTTTTTTGAGAGGTGATGACTATATGGCCAGATCAATGTCAGGCCGACTCCTAGCAGCAAGTGACCCTGAATCTCCCCCACCCGTGCAGAGCTGACCAGAGCTGGCTAATGTAACCTGTCAGCAGCTTTGGAAGTTTTTTTTGTCTTTTACTTACTGCCCGTTTTGCTCACAGCCCGTTTTGTTCATGGCCTGTTTGGCTCATGGCCCATTTTGTTCTCGGCCCGCAGCCCTGCACCGGGCATGAATGCACCCAGAACCAGGAAGACACCTGACATTCCAGAAACCCGGACATACCTGTATCTCCCAATCCCTGACTACTTTACCTTACATGGACTCACGGCAGCCCAATCACATGTTCCCCGGCAATATAAACACCACCCCTGTAGCCTGGAGTGCAAATCCCTCAGCCCGGACACTGTGGACCTTGGGACTTCGCCCAGGCTGGGTTTTTCTCCCCAATAAAGCCTGTTTGCTCAAATTCGATTGATTTGGTCTCTGGCACCTCTTGACTACCTTACAATGACATCCCTCCGAGTTCCCTTTGAATCTTAATTGTGCTGAATCCTATTTCCTTTTGCTTTCGTGGGACTTCACTCTTTAAAGTATGCCCTTTTGTAAACATTTTTAAAATGTCCTTCTGCCTTGGTTCCTTTCTCTCAATACCAAACATGTCCAAGAATATCCTATCTTTTCAGCTCTTTTTCTATCTATATTTTACACCCCTCACATCATTTTCACAGTTAAGTGTGCCTACTTCTGCTCTTCTTCTTGGGGATAAATGGGAGAGCCATGACGTATCCACAAAGCATACAGAAATAAAAATACTATTGACTTGTAAGAATTATACTCCACAGCCATGATGTAAGTAGCAACACAGCAAAACCCAGACTTCTGTGCTGCTCATGTAAATATTACTGAGCCATTTGCAGGACAAAATTATGATCATTGTCATGTAGGAGAAACTATGTGGGGAGAGTTGAAATAGGAGGGTATCTAGCAAGCAAGGAATAAATTACGGTAGTGATTCCAGTTAGATGAGAAAAAGAAGATATAAATCCTAAGGCATTGCATCATACCATTTTAAAACACATATCCCTTGCTGAAAAAACATTGAGAAACTTTCAAAACTTACATGTTCCTTACTTGGTCCCATCCCTCCAAAGAGATCTACAGCAGATCAGAAAGTAGAAAAGGAAGGAGGAGACCAGAAGTTGATAATACTTGGAATTATCTAAAGCATGAGACCCTGAATCTGGTATATAATGCAATTGAAAGTCCTAAAAGTAGGTAACTCAAGAGAAAGGAAATGCTCATTCATGCAGTCTGATAAAACCATTTTCAAGACCAGCCGAGCTCTTCTGAATGTGCCTCTATGCTTGCCTGGCAACCTTGTGGTTCCTGATTTCGTTTTTCAGGCATCTCAAGACTGAAAAGTTCAGAATTAAAGATCAGATTCGCAATGTATTCTAGCACCGTCAAGTCGAACTTTATTTGTGATATAAATGTTCTGTATCTGCGCAGTCCAATACAGGAGCAACATGGATACTGAGTACTTGATAGGTAGCCAATGTGACTGAAGAATGGAATTTTTTATTTTAATTAATTCCAATTTAAATAGTCATATGTGCCTATAGCTACCATATGGGACAGCCAGGTCTAGGCTCTGTAAAGGACCATCTCTACTATCCCCAGGTTGATTCAGGTACTCAGTCAATAGGTATTTCAACAACAAAAATGAAAACCCAATTCGATCTGTGTACTCGGTCAGTAGGTGCTTTAACAGCTGTCCTATATCGATTAAGCCTGGGGTACACATAGTGTTAGAAACTGTGACTCTAATAAATTCACAGCTTATGAAATTTTCTCCTAGTCATAAAAAAACCTTGTAATTGCCTCCATTTAATATATAATAATATCTACTTCAAGTGATTACCATGAAAATGAAATCCACTAGGTAAACAGCAATTTCCTAGCACAAAGTTAGAGAGTTAATAGATAACATTAAGTCCCTTCCCTCTGCTCATTTTCTACCTAGTATCTTGTCTTTATTACATGATCCAGTCATTTTAGAAATACGTGGCATATTATTTCTACAAAAGTCTATAAAATGCCATGCTGTTATTGCAAGAAAGGTATGTTAAAATTCAAAAAAACTGCAACTTCTACAAGTCACTAGCCTAAGGTCATCCATATAAGCTGTTATCGATGGGGGACAGTCTTATAGGTTTCATAAATAAGTAAATGGAAAAAAATTGATTATGGTCATTAATTTATCATTTATGGCAATGCATAGAACAAATAAATGAAAGATACAGCAAGAACAAACAGGTACAAAATGTAGCTCCAAGTGCTTCCAGCAAAATGACAGATCTGAGCTTTGGCCAAATGGGGTAAAGGCACACTTAAAACCTGTGGTTTATCAAACAAGAAACTAGAATTGAGTGGTGTTTGTGATTTCTGTTCCTGATTTTCTAGAATATGGGCTGGCATGCAAATGGCTGGAGTCCTTGGATACTAAACAAGAGGTTTGAAATTCAAGGCACCAAGAGGTGCCTCAGAAGAAATGCTTTGTGACTTCTGAACATCAGTCCTGGGAAACATCTTGGAGGTGACTTACAGATCGGGGAATCTCCAGAAATGACATCTCATTTAAGGATTTAATCTTTAAGGTATATAGAAAACTTCAAAAACTCAACCACAAAAAGAAAAAACAACCAATTACAAAACAGGCAAAGGGTATGAACAGAACCTTCTCCAAAGAAGGCATTCAATTGGCTGAAAACACAAGCCATTCGATAAAGGCAAATTTCAAAATCCAATGAGATGCCATATCACTTCTGCAAAAACAGCACTGATTAGAAAAAACAGCAACAGAAACAAAAACAAGAAAACAAACACAGGTGAAGATGTGAAGGTGTGGGACCCCGACCCACAGTTAGCAGGACAGTAAAATAGTGCAGCCACTCTAAGAAAAAGCATGAGCTCCCTCAAAAACTAGAGACAAAATGGCCTTTGAGCCAATAATCCTACTTATACTTGTGTACCCTAGAGATCTAATACCAGAGCCATGAACACACATATTCAAACTTGGGCTCTCTGCAGTACTATTCACAATAGCAAGAAGATGGAAACCAATGCGTCTACTAAAGTATGAATGGATAACTACAATGTGTTACCTGTATACAATGGAAAGTTACACGATCATAAAGAATAATGATGAGTTCCAGAAATATAACAAGGATGATTCTGGAGAGCATTATTTTGAGAAAAATAAGTTAAGCACAAAAAGACAAATTTTGTACGATTTCTCTTTCATTGAAAAAACAAGAATAAATATATTGAGAAATACCAATGGCCATTGATGGTTACCAGGGATGGGGGCGGTGAGGGAAGTCACTCTCTAGGGAACAGACACTTGTTATTGTTGGTGATGGGAAATGAAATACTGAATGTGGTGAAGTATGTACAATGTGCCTTGGGTAAATTATGTCAATAATAACTAAAAAAGGAATTTTAAAATAAATGCTATTACATATACAATTTTCAACAACACAAATAAAAAAATACATGTATCCATATGAATGCATATAAGTATATATAGGTATGCAAATATGTGCACTTGTATAAATGTATACATGTGCATATGTACATATATATGCATGTGTGTGTGCATACACATTTACATACACAATTATATAGGGGCACAATTATGGATAGTTTATCACCTTTAATACCAAATGCCTCACAGGATTGCTTTCTGTGGTTTAAACGATTAAGCTGTAGTGTTGTGGGACAACTTGGTTAACTGGAATAATAGAATTCATAAAGTCTAGTTCTGCATTCTAGTTTGCTGAATAGGGCCTGGAGTCTTACAAGTTCTGAGCAGCCACCTAACTCCTTGCCATCCATGTCTCCAACTCATGACAAGTCAAGTAACCCTGTAGCACACAGTATACTGTTTCATTGGGGTCTCCAAGGCTATAAACCTTTTGGGCATCAGAATACCACCTTTCTCCCCTGAAGTGGCTGATGGGCTCAAACTGTCCACCTTTCAGTTAGTTAGCCGTTGAATAGCAATCACTGCTCCAGCAGGGCTCATAAGCAGCTATCTAAGATACAATGACTGGTTTCTCTAAAAGAGAAAGATGGAAACAAACAAACAAACAAACATCAGAGGACAAAAATAGTTTGCAGGACTAAACATCTATCTGATTTCATTCACCCTGGGACCGGAAGAAGCAGATGGTTCTTAATGACTGTTCTGATCAGAGACACAAGAGATTGGTCTTGATATAATGAGAGAAAAATGTGAATCAGAACTCAAAATTCTTAAAATGTCCAAACTTTCTCGACTGGTTGAAGCTATGAGACTCCTCAAGATTATCACCCTAAGATACAATTCAAACTCGTAACGGAAACTCTTCCCCTATGGTCACCATTCAGTTAAATAACAGTTTGGCTCATAAAATAAGGCATATCAGCTCTGAGTCCTGTACCTTTGAAAAATCATCTACATGGAGCAAACGGTCACAGTTTGCTGTAAAACACAGACAAGAAGGCAAGGAGGCAGGGAAACTAGATTACTCGAAACAGAACAACCAGGAAAGAAATAATAAGAATGTTCACACCTTGTAGAAAATATAACCAATGTTAGTGAACAATGTTTGTGAAAAATTCTCGGATATAAACCTAATTTGCTGTGTATACATTCATTGAAAACACAATGAAATATTTAAATTATTCTATAGAAACCCAATTTGCTGTGTAAACATTCACTGAAAAACACAATGAAATATTATCTAAACTAAAACAAAATCCTATGGAGCACAATTGTACTCGAACACACCGAGAGTCACCCTGTGTGAGAATCAGATGGATGGCAACTGGTTATGGCAGCGCCCTATTCAGGAAATCAATTCAGAGAATCACTTCCATCACATAAAGAGATGGGTCGGTGGGTCTTGCCTGTAGTGATGTTATCCTGGGAATCAGATGATCAAAATAGATGTCCACTGCGTTAGTGAAGCCCCTGTAAGTTGTTCTCAGCTTCATTTTTGGATCCTGGAGTAGCCAGCTAGAAGTGGAAAAGAGGAGGCTCAGATGTGGAATGGGGGTTAACACTAAAAAATGCTCAAGCCTGAGGCTGGAAGAGCAAGCGCAGCTCCCATTTGCTAAGTCACACCAGGAGCTTATAGGGTGAGATTTTAGTCCAACCTTAAGAAAAAGTGTGGGTCCCGATAACAATTAGCCCAGCAGTTTAACCATCATCTCTGTCATCAAGACTAAATGCAGGTTGAATAGTAGAGAAATGATCTAGAGCTGACATGCCATCCTATCGCCGAACGGCCAAATCAGCCTGCTTTTATTTCACACTTGCAAAATAAAACCCCTGTTAGAGGACAACCAAGCCATCGTGTGCATATTTTCCTCACTGCTTTTCTGCTATAGCGGCAGAGTTGAGTTGTGACAAAGGCTAGATGTGGCGTGCAAACCCTAAAGATGTATTGTTTCACTCTTTACAGAAAAGGTTTGCTGATGCTCTAGCCTAGAAGGAGACTTTTATAAAGCTGTTTAGGCATTTTAATCTTGTGAAAAAGAGATTATCAACCCAAGGTCTTACAATTTATATTGTTACCATGCTAAAACTCACCAAAGTATGGCTTCAGTGAGAGTTATTAGTTTGTATTTAAATAATCAACATGTGCTATCATCCATTTGTACTACAGAGAGGAAGTCTGCTAAAAACCCGTGCTATGTAATCTCCAATATTTTGGAGTTCCTTTTCCATGTCACTAAGTGAAAAATAAAATCATGCAGATAAAAAATGTACATGGAAAACAAAGCAAAAACCCTTTGTTCTCATGTTCATTTAAATGTACTGCAGTCCTCGTGAGGTCATGGTCAGGGGCCCTCAGAGCACAACTTACCTGGGTAGGCCTCCAAGGTCAAGGTCTACACCAATGTAAGGGCCTGGACACAGAATGACCCACAGCCCCACCTCTGAAGCTGTGAGTAAAAATGACCTATGAAGCAAAGCATGGATGATAATTAAACATCGAAAGCTAAGATCTAAAATCCCTGCTATGTCTTTCTCTTTGCTTCTTTTTGAGGTTGGAATGGGTGGAAATACCATTCCAGCCTACACAATTCCCTATAGGAGCCATATGATACCATAGCTAGACAGACAGCCCAACACTGAGTAGCCAATGGCTTCCACCAAGGTGCTAGAGAGGAGGAAATTAAAAAGGATTGCAAAAACCCCAAACCCAAACGCTACTTCTCTCCCAAATTTCCTCTCTGCCCCTCTCCCTTGCCCTTCTCTCTCCTGTGTCTACAAGTAACACTTAAGTGAAAAAGTTAGGGAATTCATTCTAGAATCATCTTTTCTCCTTACCGCCTGCCGACTTTTAGTCAATCATGAAACCACCATATTCATTCCTCCTACTTCATGTTTCAAGCGTGAGATTCCTCTGCATCCCTCCTACTATTATCTGGGTTCAAGAGCTCCTTTCACACCTGAGAATGGCCTTCAACTGGTTTCCTTCCTATGATCTTACCTTCTACTAATGAGGTCAAATGTTCAATCCCGGGAAGAAATAAAATTAGAATTCAGTCTTCCAGGAATGTATTTTTCAACAATCTTAAATATACTTCCTGCCAACATGACCTTTCAAAAATGGACTTCCCAAATTAAAACCATTCAACTGATTCCCTAAGGCCTTCAGAATAGACTTCAAATTCTGCAAAGGTTTTAGAGGCATGGGATATGGCCCATGTTCATTCCTTAGCAGTTCCTCTACTGAAAAATCTACTTTAAATGGACAGAATTACCAGTATTTGCAGATCCCACAAAACATAATGTGTGAGTGGAATTGGCAACACAATAACCCCTTATTGTTTGATGTGAATTTATTCTAAATTTTTTATATTCTCTGTTTTCTCTTAAATTGAGGTCTTTCTCTGTTTTATGTGGTCGTTGTTGCTGGGTCCTTGTATGTTGTTTGCTCTTGTGTTGTATGGTTATCAATATAGGAAAACCAGGATGGGTGGATTTATACAGAGTAACTCGATTAATGATTGCCTGGGGGTATGGGAAGGGAGGTTGGGGGAAATGGGGAGTCAACATCAAGGGGTTCAAGATGGAAGAAAAAGTTCTCAAATTGATGGTAGTGATGATTGCATAACATTTCTTGATATGAATGAACTACTGAATTGTATGATGTGTTAATTATAACCCAGCCAAAAATTATATTAAATTAATTAAAACTAACCAAAAAAGCAATAACAAAAACAGTAGTAGCTGAGCACAAACCATTGTGCCACTTCAGGACTTAACAGTATGTAATGTTTTAAAATCCCCTGTAAACTATAGTCCAAAAGCCTTCTCTTCAGAGTTGAGAGATCAGGTTCCTCATGATAAACTGTAGCTGTGTAATGCCAGAACTACAATTTCTAAACCAATTGGGAATAAAAATGCCTCTTGCACACTAAGCTCTAGCCTCCATCAGGAATACAGAATAACTGCTTGAAGGGCTTTGCTCCAAAGAACAACATTATCAGCCATTCTGATGGTCCTCAAAGCAAAATGTAAGATCTCCCTCGCTGTTGTTTCTCGTCTCCAGTCAGGCCCTGACTCTAAGCCACATAACAACCATAAAACAGCTTACATATTGTTGTTGTTGTTGTTGTTTTAACAGCTTAAATATCAATACATACATGAAGTCCAGGTTTTTTGTGAAAATGAACTGTCCTTTTAAAGGTTCATGGAGGTTCCAGGGGATATGCCTGCAATGAAAGAAAAAGCCGGATACATCGATAAGAATCGTTCATACGACTCTACTTTCTCCCGTTTAAAACATAGTCTCAAAGTGATCCATATCATGAAAAAGGATGCACATTTCAGTAGCAAAATCTCTACATGTACACTGTGTATTATCTTCAAATTATTCTCATAATATTCAGAAAAGGTCTACACAGCCAATAGTCTCCCATAATTTTGGACTTTAGGTCAAAGAAAGCTGAGGATGAAATGACTTCTGGGATGCAACCACAAACATTTTTTCAAATGTCCATGAAAACCTATGAAAATTTGGATGCACATTCCTAATGGGGACAAAGGAAATCAACCATAAAGCAATTATCAGAGAGAGTTAAGTCATTTATAGTACTTAATTATATGACATCCTTAAAATGAATGAAATAAAATCAAACAATCTATTGGTGCAGTGGTTGCGCATTGAGCTTCGATCCACATGGTTGTCAGTTCAAAACCACCAGCAGCTCCATGGGAGAAATACTGGACTTTCTACTCCCATAAACAGTTACAGTTTGGGGGAACCCACAAGGGGCCGCTGAGTATTGACTTTGTGACAGTGAGTTTGCTTTGCGTTTTTGGACTGAACAAGGTAAGATCCATACTGTCTAGCATTCATTAAAAAATTACTTAGGAGCAAAGATTCAGAAAGATATTACCTATATAACCACCAGGAAATAATTATTATAAACAGAAAAAATGATAAATAATTCATATAATAAAACTAGCAGAAGGGAATATTAAAAACCTAGTATATACTCTGTATTGTTATCAAATAGAGGAAAATAATAACAAAAAATGGAAGATAGAAAAAAGACCTAATTGGGACGTCTATCGTCTACCCTACTGTTAATTCCATTTGGTGTGCTTTTTATTCCTATTGTTAATGGTATCCAGAGGGTTTTTTTGTTTTGTTTTTAATGTTTGAAGTTTCAAGATGCAGCTTCAGAAACTATCCAGCACAGAACAAAGATGAGGATGGGGAACAGGGATACCTTCTCATGCAGTCTACTTACTACATGGAATTGAGGTCCCTAAACAGAGAAATAAAAAACATGTGAAGAAATAAGGGTAATGTCTGGCAAGATAGTGTACTAGGCAGACACACTACACAGACCCTCTACAACAAATACAAGAGACCCCCCCAAAATGGATGATAGTCCTGAAACCCTGAGCTTCAAATGACATGATAGAGAGCTATCGGTATTGAATACCAAGTAGAAGAAGAAGCAGGATAAAAATTATCAGAAAGGAGGCATACAGGTGAACGTACTTGGCCTGACCCAGCACCATCTTGAACTCAAAACGAAACTCACTGCCATTGAGTCAATTCTACTCATACCAACCCTACAGGCCAGGGTAGAACTGCCCATGTGGATTTCTTTATAGGAGTAGAAAGCCTTGTCTTTCTCCTGTGGAACAGCGAATGGTTTTGAATTGCTCGTGTTATAGTTAGCAGCCCAACTAGTAACCACTGTCTACCCTGATGATCAGCTCTGCTCCCTGAAGACCAGTATAAGTGCCCACACTATTGGCTGGTTACAAAAAGGTCAGATCTCCCTTTGTTCCCAACATCTGACCAAAGGAGTGGCCGACCCCCACTCACTCACCCAGCAGCCAGTTACACACTTCCCTGCTCCCCTGAGGTTGGAGCTGCACCTACTTGGTACACCAGCCCACATCAGAAGGCAAGGAGCGCTGCCTGTTTAGAACAGCAAAGAGTGCAGTGCCAGACAAGAATTCCGTGGCTGACCATCCGGAGAGGACAAGAATTCCTTCCATATCTACCACCAATGACCACAGATGCCCTCTGGGTCTGAAAGAGTTCCTTTCTAGGCACAAGGACCCTGACCTCAGGTATCATCTGATCACATGAACTACTGCCAGATCAGCTCTCTGGCCCCAAACAACACCTTGGATGGCAGAAATTCCATGAGATTTCCCACCCACTCGCCCTCCCTCATGAGCTCCTTGGCTGGCAGGGGGTATCCTGACCTCAGCAGTTTTCTCCTCTGGGTCTTGCCCTTGCCCCAGTTTTCTTTTTATTCTGTTTTCTTTCCCTCCCTTTGTTTTATATCCTTTCCTTTTCTTCTTCCATTTCTATTTTCTTTTTCCCCCATACCCTATTCTTTCTCGCTTTTTTTTTCTTTACTGTTCTTCTTTTCCGCTTTTCTTTTTCCACATCCCTAACTTTGCTTATTGTATTTTTTTTCTTATCCCTTTTTTTTTCCTTTTATTCTTTTTAGTTAAGTTCTTTTTACTTTCTGTAATTTACCTATTTTGGCTGCTTGGCTTTTAAAAGAATTATTGGCTGCTGCTTGTTTTTTGTTTATTTGTTTTTACTGTTGGATCTCTTTTCCTCTTGTCCCACCTAATGGTAGACAGTAGCTATGCCCATACAGCCCAGCTACACCCATATCTCCTGCAGCCACATCTACTGAGAGAGAGCCACACCCAGTCCTGTAGAATTGGACCATAGACAGATAACAGTCAACATCAGCCAAACCACCCTCAATTGTGCTATACAAACAGCAAACTGAGAACTGCACACACACTTACACTCTCTAGCACATTTACCAAGAAACAAGTGGTAAGTGCCTCAGTTCATACCAACATACAATTATCAATAAAATGCACCACCACTATGTTTCAGAGATAAGAGACTATTTCAGTTCACGTGACAAAATGATCAAGTGACCAAGATACAGAGCCAGAGAGCCTTTTCTAAGAAGAAACGCCATTGTTACAACCTAATCAGGTTGTAACGTTCAAAAGAACGATACACACTCATCCGATGAAGTGAGAGAAAGACCAAGAAAACGACAGATGAAAGCAAGAAAAACAGATAAAACTTTAGAGAAATTCTGGAAAACACTACAAGAACAAACTGACAAGAAGTTAGTGAAAAATCAGGAACTATAGAAAAACAGCAAATAGAAATTCAGATGATTAACACAAAGATTTCATAAAGAAATAATGCATTAAGAGAAGAACCAAGGAGCAGAACTGAATCAAGAATGCTAATGAATGTATACAAAAATAGCTATTAGTCATTTGGTAATTCAAATTAAGTTAACAGTTACTCTAAACCAGTGGTTCTCAACCTTCCTAAAGCCACAACCCTTTAATAGAGTTCCTCATGTTGTGGTGACCTCCAACCATAAAATTATTTTCTTTACTACTTCATTACTGTAATTTTGCTAATGTTATGAATTGGGTGACCCCTGTGAAAGGGTTGTTCAACCCCCAAAGGGGTTGAGACCCACAGGTTGAGAACCTCTGCTCTAAACCTTCCACTGGATACAACAAAACAGATAGCAGTAGGCACTGATGAAATGATAAAGCAAAAAGGACTCTCTCACACTGCTGGTAGGAAACTGGTATAACCCCTTTGGAAAACTACGATGAAAAAAGAGGAAAACCCTTGACAAGATGGATTGATACAGTGGCTGCAAGAACCAGCTCAAACATAAGAAATTTTGGAGTTTTTTTATATAAGAAAATTCGTGAGGATGGTCCAAGATCAGGCGGTGTTTCCTTCTGTTGTATACAGGGTCCCTGTGAGTCAGACGGACTTGACAGTACTTAACAACAACAACTAATAGTTGTGAGAATGGACAAACTACCATACTTAACAATGTGGATGGATCTTATACAAGAGCTACCAGCTACAAAAAGTACAAAAGTACTTATTGTATGATTCTATTTCTGTGAAGTTCAAGACAAGCAAAAGTAACCTAGGTGTCAAAAGAATGGGTAGCTGTGAGCTTTTGGAGGAGTCAGGAAGTTCAGGAGAGCTTTGATAATGTTAGTGTATTACAAAAACTTGGAACACTTTTCACTTCAAGAAAATCAATTTATGTACATTTATACCTGTGTATAAAGTTAAACAACAGCTAAGTGTTGTTTTTAAAATAAAATTAAAATAGAGAAGAGTTGATGTGGGAGGAGAATTGAAAATCTAAGGGTGTTTTAAGTAATACAGACCAAAGTGTCTACTAAGAAATTAGAAAAAAAAATTACTATTTTTTAACAGAAAAAAAAACAGAAGGCATTAGTTGCATCTGGCTGGGATTCTGTATCTGTAAACACTGTTAAATTGTGAAAGAAATAAACAGAGACGAAGAATAAAATAACCTTACATTCCAAAAGAGGCATCAGTAAGCTAAGCAAAATCAGTATATATATTCACAGAGCGAGAAGCAATGCATTTGAGGCTGCTTTGTCTCTACTTTGAAAGAGGCCATTGGAAATTATGAATTTTGAGTACAATGCCTACCATGCAACCAAAACAAAAAGAAAGCAAATAAAAAAGCCATACAAGGAGAAACAGCAACATAAATGAGATACCATATCATTAAAATAGAAAAGAGCTCCAGACAACTCAGCTATCAGGAGCAAAGTTCAACATCACTAATATCAAAATGTCCAACAAAATGAAAGTTTGGGAGTTTTGACAGATTGAAAATTTATTTTAAAATATTTAATTATTTAAAAATTTTAAAGATATTTTAAATGAAAAACACAGTAACTAAAATGCATTAGCTACATGGATATATATAGCAGATCCATATTTGTACCTGTTCCAAAAAAAATCATGGAAGCAGCAGTCAAGAGATCAAAAGACTAGTTACATTAGTATTGAAAAGCAGGCATGTTACGTTGAGGACTAAGGTAAGCTGGCCCCAAGCCATGGCATTTTCAATTGCCTCATATACATGTGAAATTTGGACATAGAAAAAAGAAGGTTGAAGAAGAATCAACGCATTCGAACTCTGGAGCTGGAGAATATTGAAAGTACCATGGACCACTAAAAAACAAACTGATCTGTCTTTTCGAAGTACAACCAGAGCGCTCCTTAGAGACGAGTATGGTGAGACTCTGGCTTACCTGCTTTGAGACCAGTTCCTAGAGAAGGGCATCACGGTTGGTAAAGCAAAGGAGCAGTGGAAAAGAGTTAGCCCCTCAACAAGATGGACTGGCACAGGGGCTGCCACAATGGGCTCAAGCATCAGAACATTGTGAGGGTGGCGCAGGACAGGCAGTGTTCAGTTCTGCTGAGCTTAAGGCTGTTCTGGGTTGAAACTGACTAGAAGGCTCCTAACAACAGCTGAAAAAATATATATCAAGCAGGACATTTCAAAGACTTATGACCCAAAACAAAGAAAAGGTGAAGCATAATGAAGATTAGCATAGGAAAACTGATGAAAAGCAAAAACCAGAAGAGATTTTTCTTTCTTCAAAGCAAGTAGAGAAAAAGATAGGATTGCCCTCAAAATGAAAATAAAAACTGACAGCTGACTTCACAAAGCAAACAATGTAAGCCAGAGACAATGGAACTCTTCATGTGCTGAAGGAAAATAACTGCCACCCTAGAATACTAGTCACAGGAAAGAAAGTCATTCATAGACCAAAAAAAAAGCTTAGAAGTTCAGTACTAGCAAATCTACACTAAAGGAAATTCAAAATGTATTCCTCATGCAGTAGGAAAATGATCCTAGAACAATAATAGCAACAATGTCCTGTTATTTAAAAGTATAACACAAACAATAATAAGTATATATTATCAGGAGGAAAGAGACGAGATGCAAGGTTTCAAAGTCTTCCCATGATGTAGAAGTTGGTAAAGTTCAAGGGAGCATTAGTTGTTGGCAAGTGAAGGATGCATGTTATAAACTCTTAGATACTAAGTAGCTCTCCTAAGTTAATAGAAGAAAGGAAATGGAACAATTAAAAAGAAAACTCTCCATCTTACAAAGGTAAAGCAATGTTTTAAATAGCAAAGAAAAAATTATGAAAGCAATTTTTAAATTCAATTTTAAGGCTGAGCGAGGGAACAAGCTTATCAAATATTAAAATAGAGTATTAAATTAGAAATCCAAAATCCTATGTGAATAAAAGAGAAATAAATACAACTCAAACAAAGATACAATTAAAAGTGTGGTTATGGCACAAAAATAAATACATACAATAAAGCAGCCAATTACAACTTAGAAATTACACTGGTTGAGAACCAGGCCTTGAGATAAAGTTTGTGAGAATCCATAGTGAAAAAAATTTTTTTCAAGGATAATTCAAAAGGTCTATTGCACCAAATACCACAAATAAATGGATCAAAATAATGCATAAGCAAATTTTAAGAAAACATTTCCACACATTAAGATTGGTATCTATTCTGTAAGAAGCACTTTATGCTCCTTCTGAATATTCAAAGGATTACTTTTTTTAAAGTTTCTATCCAAGGTTTTTTGAATCTGAAACTCACTGATACAGAAGGTAAGCTATACATATGATTTACCAGGTTATAGATTTGTGCCCCGTGGCCTTTGGCTTATTAGTCACTAATAATAAAAACAATATAGTTTTTTTTCCTGTAATGTTCTACTTATGCAATATGTAAGACTACCTTTATTCTGAAATAATGCTTTTCTTCCTTTTGGGCTACAAGGTGTCTTTTCGTTTAAGCTTAAAAGAGTACAAATAAATCACTGTCCTCTCTCCTATTGGTTTATGGAATGAGGATGATTATAGTTACTGCTTGGCAGATCTGGTTCTATTAAACAAGGCTCTTCCAGGAAGAATGTGAACGCCATGCCCAGACCTCTTCACTAGATGGGTAGCACTTGGGCTGCCATAATCTGCACAGGATGCTAACCCTGAATGTTGCAAGATTGCCTATAGGCCAGAGTAACCTTTTTAAGACAGTGACCTTTCAGAGGGATTGGCCCAGGCTAGGAGATCAAGTGATTGTTGAAAGCTCAGACGTCCTAAGAACCACCAGAAAAATACTGAATGTGCTGGAAACTCAGACAACAAAATTTTTAACATAACTACTAGGGGCTAGCACTCACGTGGTGACAGTATTGAAGCCACAACTCTTCAACTTCAGCAAGCGGTCATACCAGTACTCCCTGGGGACCCGAAAGTAGTGGATAGTGCCTGCTACGATCAGGAAGGGGAAGCCCTCTAGAGTGAAGTTTGAGCCCTTAACTTTCAGACCTTCGACTCGGTTCTTCAAATTAGAAGGGGTCAGGTGAGTTTGATTGAGCCTGCAAGGTCAAAGGAGACAAGTGAAACCCTAGGAACTTGCCCAAGAGGTATGCAGGATGGGCAGGTAAGGAAGAGCCTATCAAAGGCCCAAGTCAAACGTCTGGTGGAAAAGAAACTTGCTGGCCCTTTCCCCAACAAACATACCTAGGCGGGAAGTTGTACTTGAGTTGAGCCATCACTGATAAGGCTGAAGACAGGCACAGGATGCCCTCGGGTCTCACCAGGAAGGCCCACATGCTAGCAGATAGGACAGAGCAGGTGTCAGAGGGACATAGACCAGGGAGGGAGATGGGAGTGGAAGGGGGTGGTGGGTGGGGGGAGAATTCTGGGGCAGTTGTACCATAGTCTCTGCACCAACTTGAGCTGTGACAGACAGGCAGCATGCCAAGGCTAAGCTTCTACAACTATCTAAGAGGAAGCCAAGGGCAGGGGCAAGACTGCAGAGAAGAGCCTCCCTATAAGTAATTGGGCTTTCAGACACCAGTTGCTTTAGGGAGAAAGTGGTAGCATACAGAGAATCATCTCTGGGGAACTTGCCAGACACATTCCCAAAGAATGAACTATAAGCATCTTAGACGACAAGGGAGGATGTGGAGCAGAGCTCTCTAATGGAGTCCCAGTCCTTAACTCCAATTAATGCTCCACTCCTCTGCTACAGTGGGGCTCTATCCCGTTCATTCTCAGAGCACATTTTTAAGATTTCCTTCCTGAGAACGATATTTTTCCCTTTATGCATTCCCTGACGGCCGGTTGGACTGAGAGGGGGCGCTATGTCCCAGCAGCAGGGAGCTAGCAGGGAAAGGAAGAACGAAGTCTTGGTGTTCGTGTCAGCAGCTCCTTGCCACCCACACCCAACCCCCGCACCCAAGCACCCACCCCACGTAATAGTGTCCGATCATAAACCGGTTCACAGTCACATTTTTAGAGCAGTTCAATACATTGACACAATCACTAAAACACAGGTCTCTTTTACAAGCTTCAGCTGTGCCTTCTCTCAATCGATATTCATTTGGGAAATTAGGAAAGTCAGTGGCAAGGTAGAATGGAAGCAGGGGGGTGGGCAAAGCAAAGACTGGGGAGTAAAACAGAACATTTGGAGACTAGAAATTGAGGTCCACCAGGCTCCTCACTGCGAACTTCCCACGAGTGCAAGGAACGGAGAATTCCTTTGGAAATGCTCAAGACAGTCCTCACGAAGAAGGCAGAGGAACCTCCGAGGGGCCCGCGCGCCCTCGCGGCGGCTCTCCAGGTGCAGAGGGAAGCCCCCCACGCCACCCGAGGCGCCCCAGCACCGGGGGACACACCACTGCCGCTTACTCGGAGCTCAGCCAGCGAAAGCCACCCTCGGATTCGGTCTTTTAACCTGCAGGTTTAGTACTAGCGTCTGGATCGCTGCGTTCTCCGGCGACGGGAAGGAGGCGTTGTGCAGGCGAGAGAGGCGCTTCATCAAAGCAATCGCGGTGGCCGCTCGTTCTGGCTGGCTGGCTGGCACGGGCCATTGCAGGCGCCTTTGTGGGAAGGAGAGCTGGCTCTGTTTCAAATGCTCAGTGGAACCCCAGGCAAAGGCAGGCTCCAGGGGAAGTTAACCCTTTGTTTTAGAGACACACAACACTATGATCACAAATATTTTTAATTACTAAAATTTGAGGATTTACAGTTAATCTAAAATAGTTATATGTGTTTGTTTCTGCCATTTGTATTTTTTTTAGTTTCCATAAAGATTTTCAATATTCCTCTTCCATATTTCCATTTTTCTCTGCTTTCAGAGTCAATCTTTCTAATGATTTCCCCCCATATGTTTGAGATGAACTTGTCACTAAAGACTCCAAGCCCATTTCAGTTTTTCTTTTACTTTTATTTTTAAGGCACCCAGACCAATATTTAAGTCTAAGGGGTAAGAAATCTAGAAAGGTTGGGTTTTTGGGGGTGTGTGTGGAGGGGGGGGTTGTTTTTTTTTGGTGGGGAAGGGTTAAAGAAACACACTGTATATAGTTACATAGCCCATCTCAACAAAAGAAATCAACAATAATATCCCATAAGCCCTCCATAAATGTAGTTCTTTCCCCTGCCCCATTCTAATGGATTTTTTATATCTCCCTCTAATGGATTTTTTATATCTCCTTGATTTGTGTTTCTGCAAAAAATGTTCTTATTTGTATAAATAAATCATTTACACAAATGGTATTTTGTTTAGTAACTATTCGCATAGGTGGTATTGGTTACAAATCTTAGTATAGTCTTGGTTTTTGTTTTAAGATCTAAGTATATTATGCCAGCAATCTCTACTTTTCTGTTTTCATAGGATTCTCTTTCTCAAATAATTCAATACCCTATTTTTAAGTTCTAACCAATGTAGGCTGAGGACATAGAACTTCATGATACCTCTGTGCCCTATTTTGTAGGGTTTTTAAAGTTAAAATACAGATTTATCAAAAATGTATTTTGTTTGTAATATTGGTGATCTTTCCATTTTGCCAAATGACAAGCAGATTGCTCCCAAATCTAATTATATCTTCATTAACTTAAAGCAAAACCAATATTAAATTAGCATATATGCGGGTAAATCAAAGAGTACAGCTACTATGGTTCTACTTCATATATGCATGGATTCATTCCAAAAATATGCTACAACATGTCTCTGGGATGAGTGGATGGATGACTGTAGAAATTCTCTCAGTAATACACTTATCTTAGTTCCATAGGGTGCCTTAAAAAAAGATTTTGTGCCATGGGTTAGGGAGCACACAATTTAGAAGTCAAGGATAATAACATATAATGAACAAATCTCAAGTAAATATCTCAAATCATTGAAACTTTGCAACAAGTTTACAGGCATGCTGCCCCACATAAAACTACAGTTTTTATATGGATCAAGCATTTTAGTGAAGGTCAAGAGGATCTCAAAAATAAGCCAAAAATGGGATAACATCAACCTCAATAAATCAACTGGCTGAAGTCCAAATATTACTGGAAGAAGACCATAGAATTACCACTGGTGCCATAGCAACTGAAGTTGGATTCGCAAATGGTGTGGCCTTGCCTATTTTAAGTGAACGTCTCGACCTCAGCAAGTTTGGGGGTCTAAAAGCATTCTGAGACCAGATGGTTCACAGGTCTTTCCATCGGTCTTTTAAAATTGGAACTAATGAAGACCATTTTTATGGGGTGAATTGTAATAGGACAGTCTTGGATTTACCAAGATGATCTTGAGAGCCAGGTCCAATCAAAGCGGTGAATTCTGAGGGGAATCTGCTGGGCAGAGCACACATTCAGAAGGAATGATAACTGTTTCGGGGGTTCCTAAGAGGTCATCTTGATATATTTTCTCAAGGACAGAGATCAATCATGAGGGCGTATTAAGAAGACGTTTTAAGAAAAATAAAAACTGCTAAGCAGGAGTTCTAGACTGAACTTTGCTTATATAGATATTCAAAATTCTAACAGTAAATGCAGATTATTTACATCAAAAAAGTGACTTGTCTCCTTAGAGTACTGGTTGAGAGGGACAGGCAATTTAGAAATTGAATACCTAAAGTGGGTAGGAATAAAGGCATGATGTGTCTATCTTACAAACTTTTATGCATGTGTTTGCCATATAAATATTAAAAGGGGAAGATAGTCCTTCATGCATGAAAAGGACAATAGCTAGAAGAGTCAAGGGGTGGGCTGCAATAAGGTGAATGATTTAATTTGGCTTTTCCTGCCATAGCCTTTTTGACTCTCACCAAATGGCTTTACTGTTCCTCATGGGTTTGATTAAGAGGTGGTAGGGGAAGGTAGTGACTGGATTATATGATTCACTGAGTGTTTGTGGTCGTTACACAATTTCATGTCAACTTGGTAAATACAGTGAAGGGGTGGAGTTCAGCCTGTCAATCAGATCAATCTGACTGTGTCTCCTGCTGGATGTAACTTTCTCATTCGGATTCTTGGACCTTCATCTCCTCCTCCCTGGAAGCAGGATACTTTCTCTCTCTGCCTTGGTCTTCCTGCTGACAAGCCACATGGAGCCATGCTAATGGCAGG